TCCACACACTATGTATGCATATTAGGGTGGTCCAAAAACAGTAAAGTCGGAATTGTAATGTTCTCACCCCTAGGATTGTTCTATATCGTAAAAAGTATATCCCTATTTTCTTATTTTGAACTCAAAAAATATTTAGAGGTCGCTCAAAGCGCTCAAAGTTTTCCATGTATTTTTATATGGTATAGAATTCTTGAAAATCAATATTTTGCAATCAGAAAACTTTGGTTCTCTTCAAAAGACTTTCAATAATAATATCCAATTGTTTATTCAACCATTTTGTAACCATTTTTCGGGGTTTTATGGGTTTTTGGCGGACCTATAAATTATAGTTGCGAGGAAAAAATGCTTAAATAAACAATTGGGTATTATTATTGGAAATCTCCTGCAGATAAACAGAGTTTTCCGATAGCAAAATATTGATTTTTAAGAATTATATACCATTACTACGAAAAGCTGTTTTTCCCCATATAAAATACATGCAAAACTTTGGGCGCTTTGAGCGACCTCTAAATGTTTTTTGATTTGGAAAATATTGGGATATATTTTTTTGGGTATTGAACAATCCTAGGGGGTGAGAGCATAAAAATTCCGAATTTACTTTTTCACATGCATTTTTGGACCACCCTAATGCACATATCGCACTTTTGCTGCAAGAGTGTCATAATGTTAAATAATGCAAAATCGAGTTAAGTATGCGGGAAATACAGCCACCCCGTTATTCTATGTTGTGTAAAAATTTAACAAAACGTGTATTAATTTTTACTATTTTGTGAATATGTTAAAATTCAAAACTTTCCAAGCCGTTTTTCTCGAGTTTTTAATTTTTGGATTATGACACTAACAGTAAATGTGTATGGACTTCCCTAAATTGGGACGCATTGTTCCAAGTTGCCTAACCAAAAAACGAGGATGATTTTAACGTTCTTAAGGTAATAACTAGAGCTGAGAGTTCTATCCGGATGTTTTGACTATCCGAATATTCGTATATCTGAATAAAAAATCTGATATACGGATATCCGTATAGTTAATAGATTTCCGGATATTCAATTATAAAAATGAATAATAAAATAAGAATTTTTCGTTTATGGATGGAATTTTCAATTAATTATTTTGCAATTCGATAGATTCAGTAAACTTGAGAAATATTTTACAAACCCATTCAAATACTTTTATAATATTAGAATGACAAAATGAACGGATACTAACAGGATATCCGGATAACAAAATCAACGGATGTTAACCGGTTATCCGTACTATTGAGATTTTATTCTTATACATGAATATCCGAACGAATTATACGGATGTTCGAATATACGGAAAGTCCCAGCCCTACTATACTTCGTGCGCATACGTTTATACATACGCTTTTATTATTACTTACTTTTAATTATTTTATTTATAAAAATATAGTATATTCTTTAACAAACGCTATTAAAAAAAATTATAGTTTAAAAAACTAAATATTCGCTTTCCATTCGTACTGTCATCGGGTTACTTTAACAATGGAAATTTAAAGGAATTCCAATTCAAACTGTCATCAGGTATGTCACTTGAGAATGGAAATCGTTGCATCTTTTAGGCGCATCAATATTACATAGTTGGATCCCAAGCTAATAATAGCGAGGTAAAAATCAAAAAACTTTCATACAAATTTCGATTTTTTTTTTAATTTGGGTATGCAGTTTTGTAGCCCATTCAATTTTCGTACTATAAATAAGGACATATCCTAGATTTTTGACCATTTCGTTTGTTGAAAATGTCGCTCATTTTCTCTATAAAGCTGAAGCACAACACCGGCGAACGGCAAATTTTTCGTCGCGAATGTTCGCCGAGATAATTAAAACACACTGATTTATATGAGAACGCGCACAACCAAAGCAAACGGCGAAGTTTGCTCAACGACTGTTCGCGACGATAGATTTATTTCTATCGCCGCGGTCAACGGCAACGACAAAAAAAGGCCATGATGACCATACTTTAAAAGTTATCGTAATTTTTGTTTAAAAGTAAGATAATATACCTTATATTTTTCTATCAGAGATTAATCTAGTAAAACGTAAGTTTACTAGTAGTTATATTTAAAGACTATTTCTATATTTTAAACTTCTTCTTGCTGGTATTTTCCCTCTTCGTTGTAAAAGCTTCCTTCTTGAAATATGGTCACCTTATCAGCTGACAGCATTCGAACCGCTCGATACCGCTCTATTTGTGTTTCAGTAAGCGAATTAGCTGGGCGAAAGTTGGTCGTCGGCATCGCTCTGCTGGGCGAAATTTGCCGTTCGCCGGGTATTGTGTTTCAAGCATTATGTATAAAAAATAGTTGAACACAAAGCGATTTTATACAAGGTGGTAGTAAGAATACAAAAACAAGAGTGCATTTTGTATTACTGGTGTTATGTCAAAATCTCAATTCGCCCCAAAGTTTACTGATTTGGCAGCACACCCATGAAAAGCAAAAACAAAATCCATCTAAGGAGATGAAAGAAGAAGAAATCTGCTGGTCTAATAACACCACTTTGGTCCAGCATACGCGATGAATATTTTATATATGTATACTTTTGATTGAGTGATGGTTTTGAAATACATTTAATATTTTTAATTTGCTCTGAATGCTCTGTGGAGCAGACGCAAAGTGGGATGGGAATCAATACTAGGGCAAAAAAATCTGCTTAACAAAATCATATGAGCATTTACACAGAATTTTCAACCAGGACCGAACTTCAAAACGAGCAAACAGTTGTATGGAAGCTATAAGTTATAGTGGACCGATTTTGACGGTTCCGGCAAATGATTAACACATTATAAATATGCACTTACGCTTACCAAATTTCAGTCGGATATCTCGAAAACTGAGGGACTCAATGGCGTTCAAACAGACAGACAGGTCGACTCAGCTCGACGTTCTGATCATTTTGTCAAACATCTGGTACAAACATCGGGCCAGATTTATAATACCATTTCACGTTCATAAAAAGTATAAATAATGATGGAAAAATCTACGTTCGCGACCAGTACTTAAGCTTATACATAAAAAACTAAAAGAGATATTACAACGAGCCATTAGTTAGGAGGAAGTTACTTTATTCCATTATTAGAATATTCTGTTTCATTTCCCAGTTTCTTGCTTTTTTAAATTTTTTTAAACTTTTTATACAGAAATATTAAAAAATCAACGCGTGGTCATTTGTTTGAGTCACTGTACATATATTTATCAATCAGTGAAGTCCTCATTAAAATTACTTGCAACTGAATTCTAGGCATATACTTACAGCTAGAAAAATGTACAAAAAGTTTGTATTGAATTTGTTTATAAAAGTATTAACATCAATTTCAGAAAATACCAGAAAAATTAGGACAATTTTTAAAATTTCTTTTGGCGCACTAAAATTGCTTCTCATCCCATTGTGAGACGCCATAGTTGAGTATGAGGAAAAAGATGAACCAATTTCGCACACTAAACATGAGTACATTCGCTCTTGATATTTTGGTATTTCTTATTGTTGTAATTTTCACTTGTCTCATGCATGCAATAATGACAACACAATAGAAGCCCGTACAAAGTGTTCCATGCTGTCATATATTTAAAGTCGATGCATTCATACGTACTCCCATACATATGTATGTATGTTTGTATGTACATACATACATATTTTATACGTTTGTTCGTGACTACTTAGGAATTGCGGTTGTGTAAATTATTAACAAACAATAATAACACTAACAACGCAAAAAAAAATACATTCAAATATTTGTCGTTAGTTATTGTTAAAATTATCAAGCTAGACTACGAGCTTAAACTGTATTTCTCGCGAACGCTGCATAATCAATGTTTTCCAAGTATTTTCTGCTTGTGCAGTTGACTGTTTAATGACGAATATAACATTGCTATTTGTTACAGGTAACAGTAATTACTTATTTACAGTAAATAAAAAATAAAGTTCAAATTAACAGTCGAATTATCTGCCAATGAATCTCTTTACATACAATGCATTCGCGATGACGTGAACGAATTAAAACCAAAGGAGTTCAGGAGGATTTGGATAAATACCCCTCTCCTCCCACACCTTGTCGACCCTGGCAAATGAACCAAGGACCGCTATGACAGCTTGCCTCCAGGCTCACCTCCATCAGTAAGAGAATCGCCACATTCCGGATCAAAGCTAAGTTCAAAAACATTAGCCTAATTTGTACACACGCCCCAACGGTGGAGAAGGGCGATAAGACCAAAGGGAAATTCTATGAGCTCATTGACTCATCATATGAAATCGTGCTTGACGATTGCAGACGTTAGACAAGTCAGACTAGGTATATTGGTCCAACAGTCTGAAAATTTAAGTAATGTTGGTATTTAGTACTCAAGGGGAAGATTCTGTAACCAGTTAGCGAGAATTTTCGGATCGGTATCGCTTTTGTTGACGTATGATATGAATATTTTTACATCAATAAGTGCGATAGTGATCCTAAACTTTTCGCTAACTGGTTTCAGAATCTCCCACTGGTATCCCTTTATCAAAAAACTAAAAATTTAATTGATCTCCGTGTGATATACCGAAGATACATCAAACATCTCGGTTCACTACTTTATCGCGGCCAAGGTCCGTATGCACAGCCGTGCCTCAGTCAACTCGACGAAAGTTCGACGTCTCAAAGCCGAGAAGTTTTGCAATAGATTCTACATGAATCCTGATTTATCAAGCAACTCCTCATCGCGGGATTTCATGTCCCAATTACATCGTAGTTCCACCCACGCTGAAACAGCTTGTATACGCCGCATACAAAGCCAGTGCAGTGATGAAGACGGAAACCTCGTAGCTAGCGATGGCAAAAAAAATCTATTAGTTAATTATATGATTAATCACAAACCAAAAAAATTAATTACGATCTATTGAAATTATTGATAAATAATCGATTGATAGAATTTTTAATTACTTAATTTCGCAAAAACTTCTTTACTAACGGATCTTTGTAATGGATTTTTGTGAACCTCGGGACGAGTAAAGTTGATGCAGCTAGCAAAAAAGAATGTTCGATGGATGGATTTTAGACAACTACAGAACTCATTTCTTGAAAATATTTTTACGATTATTTTAAAATCAATCGATTAACAATCGGTAAAATCGTAAATTGGACCAAAATAATCGATTAATTTAATCAAATGATATGAGTACGGATGTATTCGTAGCAGACATTCAGAGTACGTCAGAGATGTGGAGAGAACAATACTCAATGATTCCAGTCGCGCGTTTGATGATGAAAAATCCAGACAAATACATACGAGCGCTGTCCAAGGTGTTCTACTTGATCAAGACGAGGTGAGAAGAGCAATAAGCCCACGGAATAATGGAACGAATTTCCGAGACCCTTTGTCAAATTTGGTTTGGCAGAAATTCGTTCCAAAACACATCATACACCCACACTGTCAGAAACAACAACCACCAAAAAGGAAATAATTGATGGTACTTATCAGTGTGACTTCAGACCTGACAGGACCACCATTGAGTAGATTTTAACAAATATTGGAAAGTACCATTGATAAATATATTGACGCACACCAGCCTTTCGACAATTTTTAAGCCACTTTTGAAGAAGAGAAGCTGCCTCTGTGAAGCCATGTCTAAATTTAGAATCCCAGCAAATCTTACACGACTATCTAACGTTGGTCTGGTGATGAACGAAAACAAGACAAAATACCCCCAAGCAACAACCAGCCTTAACGTATTGGAGTAGTGAAGTACTTTGTCTTCATATGATCCACTTTAAGCTCGGTGAGCAATTGAAAAGCTGAGTCAACTCACGACAAACAAACGTCAAACTCTACAAAACTCTCATCATGCCCCGCATTTCATATGGTGCATAAACATGTCTATGGGAAAAAATACCCTTAGCAACTCCTGTGCTAAATCGGTCAATAAAATATTGCCGTGATTTTTTTAACTTTATTAAATTTTGTATGGGATTGTTGATTACGAATCTGAAATCAGTTTGCAAAAATTCAAAACGGCGAATGGACTTTTTAGAATATTTCAGATTTTTATGAAATTTCATATCCAAAGTTTCTTTGGGTCACTGGCTACAAAATTGAGCGGAGAATCAAGATAACAATAAAGTTGTAATATTGCGGTATTTATGACGTAGCTCGAATACGGCCTTATTCTTGACTAATAAAATAGAACTCTTGATATTCGATTAATCGAATATTTGCTCAATGTCGAATCCTTGCGAGCGGTTATCACACAAGAATGATCTTCGAAGGATAGTGCAAGGAATAGAGCATCAAATCAAGGAATAGGGTTTTTATTGCTGCAGAGAAGTGGACGTGCCAAATTACGATGCCACAAAACAGTTTTAGTTACTCTTACTAAAATTGTCACTTGTTCACAGTTTTTTTTTTTTCAATAGGCACTTATGTTAAAATGTACTTCAAGGAGAGTATAAACAATCGTTGATGAAATGTAGAAAGGCCCTAACTGACATTTTCTTCGAAATTTGGTTTTTTGCATTCCCAAGAAGCTTATAGTTAAACCCATCTTCCCTAAAAAATTTACAACCGTAACTCAAAAACTAGCGAACTTACGCCACTTTTTAAAAAGCCCTAACTGAAGTACTTTTGCTACAAAAAAAATTCCCAATTTCACTGTTGTTAATTATTTTATAAAATAGTAGTTCGATATAATGGGCCGTATGCATTAAGTTTATTTGAACAAATCGAGTGAAAGGTCTGAAATTTTAAGATAAAGCATTTGCTTAGGTTTTATGCATACGGCCCAATATCTGAAAGCTGTATGCGCATTTCTGGAGTAGCATCCAATTTCGACCTAAATTCTTTTTTTGTATAAGTGTAAGCGGAAAACCCTATTTACAGAGTACGTTGTGACAGAAGTAAGCAAAGTTAAGATATCCTTTTTAGCGACTTCATGATACTTACTTCTAACACTAACCCAAAAGTCTTTCAGAGACACAGATTGAAATGTGTGTTTCAATGTCGAAGTACCCCGAAGATCTATGAATGCTTCGTAAATGGATTTTGTACCAAACCGATATAACTATTTACTACCATCCGAAAAATAATCTGCCAAAGATTTCAGGCGATTTACCAAGTGCCCAGTTATGACATTTAACATTTTGTTTGGCAATTCATCATTCATCGCGTTCCTTGTAAAAAGTTGTATATAACCCTTTGGCTACTGCGGCCAACAACACATAACGGTTAGAAAAAAAACAATGCTGTCAAGCGCAAGCTCAACACTCTTATATAGAGCTTTTCTTTCTGTGTGCAACTCAAACCGACCGCCGTGCTTATTCATATCAAAATTAATTTCGCGCAACCCCGGTGGCTTTTCTACGGATCCCACTTTAAGAAGCTCTGGTTTAGCTCACGAAATTGTCGTTTTAAGCAACTATCTGATTTTCATGGCAACCATCACCCCTAATAAAGCTTCAAAGGGCAGGGAATGTGAATTTTTTCCCTGACAAGAGTGTGACATTGAAAGAAAACGAACACAAAATTTTCTCACCGTTTGCCCTTATTTAAGAAGCGAACACGAAAAGAGAAAGAGCCAATCAAAATGCGACATTTTTTGGTATAAACGAAATCGCCATAACACAAAGGACGGGANTTTATTTAAGAAGCGAACACGAAAAGAGAAGAGCCAATAAAAATGCGACATTTTTTGGTATAAACGAAATCGCCATAACACAAAGGACGGGAACGCTTTCTGTCGAAGGCCATCCAGATTGTTAGGGGAATTATGTTCGTCGTAGTTTTGTCTAAAAAATCACCGTAAATGCCTTTTGTTTGATGAAAATGCTCGAAAATAAATTTTGAAGTCATTGAGGGAGATGTAGTGGGACCAGAAGAAGCCATACGAGCGCGGTCTGATTAATTTTATATAAATATTATACCCTTTAATTTTTCTTGTTTAGCTTATAATGCAAAGTAACTACTAACTTGCTTTGATATGGAAACAAAATATATTGGATTTAACATGAATGCAAAAAGCCCCAACTGAAACATTTATTTCATAACTTCGCATTCACAAAGGCCCTAACTGACAGGAATGTAGCATATTATATAACATATAATTGATAAAAACCTTTAAATTTTTTTAATTATGTTAGGTATTGATATATTACATAAATTTCATGAATCATTTTCAATAAACATTTTATTATTTCAATTATGTAACGTTTTTTGTCTCCTGAAAAAAAATCGTGTTAGTTAGGGCCTTTATACATTTCATCCACGATATGTATGTATATAGCTAATCTTATTTCGCACCCTGCCACTGGTTCGCTCTCTAAGTCCAAATAGGTTATTTGGAAGCTATTTTTAAAACAATATTAATACTAGATTAGCTTAAAATGTGTTTGCATTTCTCCATGAATATGTATTTATTAAAACATAGTATGTATTCATCCTTTTAATATTATTTAAATTAATTTCAGATAATCAGATGACAATTTTGAATGCACCACCAACGAACTAAAATGAAGCCGCCATATCCATAGTAAACCGAACACGGCTTTAGCTGCAGCAATGGGAATACTCGCATCAACTAAACCAACAGCAGCAACAACTACTACTATGTACTACTACTAAATTACTGTACTACTATTATATTATAACTACGAAACTTATCTGCTATGCCTGACTCTCCCAATTTGTATTACAAAAATCACAAAAAGAAAAAACACGCACACCAAGCAAAAGTAGCAATAAACTAATTATAAATATATGTATTATTATTAAAAGCGTTCGCAACTATAGACAAACAAATAGAAAACAAATTGAAATGCAATAAACAAATCTAAACGATTGCAGTACTAAAGACTAGACTACATACAAACATTCTTTCTAACATAAATATAGTTATACATACATACATATGTAGTTGCGTAGATTTTTGTGGTTGTTGTATTCATTTAGCCGATCCATTCCACTCTCGCATTGATGAAATGTAGTTTAAAGAGCAAAGTTTCAAAATATGGAAACGTGAAGTGTTTATTCCTATATTCCAAATTCGTTCAAAAATTATTTGCTTTATTACTTTGCGTATAAATGCCACAATATACAAACTGCTAGAGTTATAAACAAAAAATAAAATTAAAACGAAGCTGGAGATGGAGCCTAGGTACTAGATATCGATGGCTGAGTGGAAGATCGACCTATCTCGGCTGCCAGTTCGAAAACGCTCTATCTCAAAAAACTTTTCAAGAATGCCCTATTTCAGAATTTTATTGAAAAACACCCTATCTCAAAATTCGGTTCAAAAACGCCCTTTCTCACTTCAAAATGTATTGAAAATATGCTGAGATAGGGCGTTTTTGAATCGGCAGCTGAGATAGGGCGTTTTTAAAACGAATTCTGAAATAGGGCGTTCTAGAAAAGTTTTTTGAGATAGAATGTTTTCGAACTGGCTGCCGAGATAGGTCGATCTTCCACTCAGCCATCGATATATACATATAGTAAAAGTTAGTCGCATTGCTATACATTTTCAAAAATACACGTGCACACACACACGCACAAATAGAAACGTATATGTATGTACGAACGGTTAGCGATATTTTCATTGCCAAAATTACTGTTATTATATATTATTTAATTACAAATGTAAACGTATGTAAATTTTAAATAATTTTAATTTTTTTCAGTGCATACATTTGTAGTTTTATGTGCATACGTACATATTTATGCATGCACATACATTTGTACTTTATTTAATGTAATATATTTGTAGTTTTAAGCGTTTTCCCTTAATTTTTTGTAATAATGTTTTGTTTGATTAAAAAGCAATTGCACACTTATTGTAATTTTGCAAATTGTTTCATTTTAAATTATAGATATGTATATAGTATATACATATATGCAAACACATACAAAACAATACGTTTTATACAATTGAGAGTAATACAAAACGTAAATACTTGTAATCAATTAAAATCAATGTGATTTAAGCGATTTTATCAAAGCTATGCAATGTCTTAAAAACTACGTTAAATTAAAGAAAGAGAAA